TAGAGTCTGACACAGCTGAAGCGGCTTAGCATGCATGCCTGCATTGGAGGAAATGGCAACCCACTCCAGTATTCTTGCCTGGAGAATCCCAGGGACGGAGGAGCCTGGTGGGCTGCCGTCTATGGGGTCGCACAGAGTCGGACACGGCTGAAGTGACTTAGCAGCAGCAGCAGGGTGTCATTGTTTTTATCTTTTTCCTTTCATATATAAACATCTTAAAGCTATAAATGTTCCTCTTATGTACTGCCTTGGCTTTATTTCACAGATTTTAATATATTGTATTGCATTCAGTTTTAAGAGAGGGTAAAATGTTCTCTTATATTTACCCACATTCCTGTTTTTCATGTTTTGAATTCCCATCTTGTATAATTTCCTTTCAGGCTAAAGGAACTACACTACCATTTTTGTAGTGTGGTTTTGCTGGTAAATCAGTTCTCTTAGTTTTCTTTCATCTGAAGATGTCTGTTTTGCCTTCATTCCTAAAGTGTATTTTTGCTGAGTTTTTTTTTTTAACTTCATAGGCCTGTAATTTCTTAATCTATAAAGTATGCAAGGTGGCCCAGGTCAGTATTTTTGTGCATTTTTGGAGACCTGGATTCCTCAGATTTGCCGTATAGGTAACACATTCATTGATGAAGAGGTGGGAGAGAAGGAGCTGATAAAGCTATGATATTTTATGATTCTATAATAGTATAATATAGGACAGGATTTTTTTAATGGCTCTCCCTTTTGCCCTCTCCAAGAGGCAGACTGTGCCTCATTGCTGTCCAGGCCTTCAGGTCTCAGGTTGTGACATCATATCCTCTGACATTTTACTCCCTACCTATTGCGATAATGGAAACTTATTTTCTATACATGCAGTATTTTAAATTTCCAAGTCACTGAATTTTGGCATAGTGCATCTTTATTTGTTTAGTTACATAGTTGTTCACATTCTCTGTGTTCATAGAGGGCTTGTTCTGGTTATATGACACTTTTAGCGCAGATATTATGTATCTAGAAGATAGCAATCCCTATTTCATGACATCTAGGTGGCTATCTTTTGTCTTAAGATTAAAAGTTGGTTATTTTATCAGTTATATTTTAATAATATCCAATTTTAGCATGATAAAATATTAACATTATTTCCTGTTTATTAACTGTCAGTATTTACTGCCTCTCCAATACTTTTTTTTCGTTAGTCCATTTTCATTGTTTAATAGTCTGTGCTAAAACTACAAATTCTATTTGTTATCCTTATTAAAACTACAAATTGAGTATATAAACATTTTTTTAGTTGGAAGAAACTTTTTTGTTTTCTTTTTCCTACTTATTTTTTTGAAGTTCCTTTTTCATCATATTTTTCCTGTTAGCCATTTTACCTGTATTTGTCTACAAGCCAGTGAGCATACTAATTTTCTTTGAAGCCTCATCCTGTATACTCTTTATGTCTTCCTTACTGGGGAGTGGGGGGGTTGGGGGGAACCAGCTTTTAAGGAAATCCAAGAGAATAAACACCAAAGCCAAGACTGTCAAAAAACTTCTGTGCAAACACTTGGTCAAAATTAAACAAAAGCTCTATGATTGAGCATTTTCCTTCATTTAATATAGATAAACCTGCTTTGTGCTGGGCTCTGGAGATTCATCAACTAGCAGCATTGGAAACAATTATTCTCAGACCTTTGTTGAGGGTAGAGGTGCAGCTTGGTCTCCTGGAAGAGATTCCTAGTGAAGTAAGATGCCCACAGAGACCATCTCATGGGTTGTGACACAGTTCTAAAACATTTGGATTCCTTGTCATTCTGATTGTTATGGCTTAACCCCAGAATTACTTGGTTTTCCACACATAACCATGCTCAAAACACGCATTCCTTTCCCTAAGCACAGGCAGCCTATTACTCCATGACAACCTGTTTTTTTAAATAAATAATGCTATCTGGAAACATTGGGGAAAAGACAGTAAATCTTAATTTAATTACATTTGTAAAATCCATTTGAAATAAAGAATTCAGTGTCATACATGTTATGGTTTGCCCTCTTTAAGCTTAACTGAAAATTAACTTTTGTATTCATGGAGAGTAGTTTGAAGAGCTGGAAGAATATATGGCTTACATATACATATTGAGGAGAAGTTGCAGTTATAAAAATATACAATTGTATAATTTTCTCCTTATAACTTTAGAAATAGCAATTTTAGTGAAGTGGAAATCTCTACTCCCTGCCCTGTAGATAAAAATGACATTAAAATATTTCAAGTTCATCTCAGAGGCAGTAGTTTGCAGTTCGACCTTTGGCATAAATCCTTTCTCACCTTAAGTTGAGACTCACTTGAACCATAACTGATATATTTTGAAATTTATTTTTTCAGCCTACTAGGTAAATAAATAATAAAAGCACATCAAATGAAAGGCAAAGGAAATTGTTTTTAATCGAAGCTACTCTACAGGAAATCACTGACAGTTACACAGCTTAGTCTCTTAGCTGATCTTTTGGGTTTCCGCACATAAAATATGAACTGTATATGGCTTGTTGATTATGCCTAACCAAAAAGACAGCAGTACAGAACAAACTCCCTGTGTCATATTTTGCAAGCGTGAGGGCCCCCTTTTAATATCAGGTAATACTGTACACTATGGTAGTTATGATGGTAGGCTTTTGATGTGTATTAATTTGAAAATTTGATGGAGCACTGTGATTCAGTAGTTTCAAGAAACTTTATACTTGATTAATCTAGACACCCACTGTTGGACATTTAAAGCAGTGTGTTAAATTTTTCTGCTTAGTCATGATAAGTGTCTATGTTTATGATAAGTGACTGTATGTGTCACTTTCCATATTTTTCTCAGTATTCCTTTGAAAACTGAATTAAATCTTTGGTCACTGACATACTCAAGTAGCAGCTAAACACAGCAGAGGCATTTGAAAGGAGGAGGAAGAATTACGGGTGTGCATAGAATACAGACAGCTTTTATTTTATACTTGGCTTTTTACTAAATGCTCTTTGAACTTGATTTTATTCTTAATATATAGATAATGCTATAGAGATTTTTCAAAGGAAAGATTTCAGATAAACTTTTGGTTATTTCATGCTTTTAAAAAGCACCTAGCTGTTCTTTTACTGATGGTGCTTTATTATATAGACTCAATTTTAAGCTCAGAAGATAGGCCTCAGTTTACCTGAAGGATAGATACACATCCCTTCATCATAAGACAGAGTTGAAATTTTATGTTTTGTCTTAATTGCTAGAATTCCATATCATTGAGGGAGAAAGGAGTCTGAAAAGGTTAACCTTGATTAACCTTAAGTTAATTAAGCATTTGAAACTTTAATGAAGTTCATACTCCATCTACCTTCAGTGTTTTCTTTCCTAACAGTTTAAACTCGGGGCCAGTCTTTCAAAATGATGGGTTATTTATGAGTTTACCATTACAAGTCTTCAGTACCATAATAGTGATTATAATATAGCTGTAAAGCCAAGAGCAGTCCTGTTTGTAAATGGCCCTGTGTGTTCACTTGAATCGCTCAGTAATGATGGTATTATCTTTCCATAGCCTTCTCATGGCAGGAGTACTCAGGTTGAGTGCACCTTTATATTAGAGGCTTCTTCTCATGTCCGCCAGGGCCACGTGGTCTCCAGATCCTGGGCAGGTGGAGTTTCCAGCTATCGCCAAAATTTAGGATCTCTGTTCCTCCACTAATAAGAGTGCTGTCATTCTTGTACTGTTCTCAGGGACAGAAGCAGGGCAGCACTTGAAGATTGAGTCCATCAGAAATTACGGGATACAAATCAAAAGTCAAAAAAGAAAAAGAATGATAGTTAAGATAAGCAAACAAGTTGTATTTTTTTAAAAAAGTAACTCCTGCCATAGTGAAAATAGCCTTTCCAGAGGACCATGTCGTTTGTCTTGCAGTACCATAGACAGTGCCTGTGTAGCATGCGGGTCATGAGAAGGTAGACATGTTTGGTCACATGAGAACTCATATGTGAATTATGGCTCCTCTTTTTGATGGGTGCAGTATTGATACTGTTTGGTTAGATGTATAATCAGAATTTTGACATTCATCGGAGGTTACCAAGAGCATCAGGGATCTGATATGAAATGTAGCAGATTCACTACAAATCAGTTGATTATGTGGCTGTTCTTAGGGCAACTTCCTTACATACCCTGTTGAGTTCACTGGTAACTTTTTAAACGTTCTGCCCTGGGAAAGAGGAATCATACATTCTGTATAGGTTAAAAGTCTAGCAAAGATGCTATGTAAAATATTTCCTGAATTCCAAGGCAGTTCCCAAATATCTACTACTTAACAGAATAATTAGCTGGGCCTTAAAAATGTGTTATGAAAGAAATGACACTTCTAACGCATGGCACCAGAAGAGGGGAACTGAAGAGTTTTTTTGTATGAAGAGTGGAAACAGTTGAAAAAGCATGAAAAACTCAGTAATTGCTTATTTGTCTGTAAATTAATGGGAGGAAAAAAGTCTGGTTGAAATTATGTGTCTTAAAGAAATTGTACATCTTATTATTGACAGGGAATACTTTTCAGTTTTTTTGGATTTTTAAGTGGAAAGGGAAAAAAAAATCTCGTTATGTGTAGATGGGAAAACATCCGACTGTAAAAACAACTTGATAAAAAACTAATTTGATTAGTAGAGAGGGTAAGCAGGTGTGTACAACGCTTTTTTTTTTAAACTTACATTTTAAGTCATACTGTCTCATCAAGATTACTATTTGGGTTTTTTCTCCAAACTCAGTATAAGTGAGAAAGTTCTCTTTTGCCTGCATCTTACCCATCTCCCAGATTGTTTTATAAGAGAGAGAGAACGTCATAACAGATTGCCTCATTTAATGCAAGTAGCCTTGATATTGTAAAGCTTTCTTTCTGTCTGTATCTTAATCCAGGAATAAATATCCAGTGAATGATTCTCATTAGAGAGCTAAGTAATAATCATTGTTGAAAGCGTGTAATTGAAGTGTGCAGCAGTGTTAAATGTTTCTGGTTTGCTTTCTTTTTGTAGAACACAAAGTAATTATAGTGGGACTGGATAACGCAGGGAAAACCACCATTCTTTATCAATTGTAAGTATGGGTGTTTGATTAAGCAGTTTTTATTTTCAATATTGGAGCTAATTTTGTATAATTAATAAGAATGAGATGCCATTATAAGGGGAAAACTTAAACATACGGTTTTGTATTTAGCCAAAGACAAAATTTATTAAGCAGTTTTTAAGGTAAATTTGCTGTATGTTTGCTACAGCCTTCAAAAACACTCATTTTTTTCCAGCCTTGAAAGAAAGAATTAATATTAAACTAAAAAATAATGTAAGCACACATTCCTGTGAGAGAAGGATGGGATAAAGTGCGTTTTGCTGAGCTCATTCCTCTGAGTCTGTGTGAATAGAGTGATATCTTGAAGCTATTACTGCTCTCCTGACTAATAGCTCAGGAATTGTTTAACATACCCAGACTTGTCAAATCAAAAGAAATGAAGATCGCACCTGAAAATACGGCTTCAGCGGCTTGCAACAAGAGGCTTGAGACTTCCAGAGAGATACATTACTACTTTCAGGATATTTTAACAGCCCATCAATCCCCTTGTCAGACTGCCTCTCATTATCCTCTCAGTGCCAATGCAGTGATCCTGGCTAAACAGTGGAAATGGATCTGTGTCCCAGGCATTTTAACACATAATTATAAAATACAGTGCTCCATTGTGTGCTTCTTGTCTCTTCCCACCTCATCTTAAGTATATCAGCTGACAGCTCTCCAGAAATACTTCACTTAAGCAATGCTTAATGTTTTTTTTTTCGGCCGCTTTGCTGAAAAGCTACCAACTTACGGCTTGTTGTTTCGGAGTTGAGTAACTACTTGTTTTTCTTTGAAACATTCATCCATTGGTCGTTATGTAATTTAGTGTGCCTTAGCCTTTGGCTGTTAGAAATAAACATTTCAGAAACCTGTCATCATTGTTGAAGTAATTTTGCATATAGCTTCAAAAATATGTACATTAAACCCAAGGGGAGAATTACAAGCTTCTTCCAACATAGTACTGACATAGGCAGATAAATTTTGTTGAGTTAATTGATTAATATAGCTTAACTGATGATTATGATAATACACGTGATATGAGCATCAGTGTATTTTCATTTGCCCATCGACTATAGTTTTGGTTAATAGACATGTAGTAATCTTTATGGCTGAGCCAAGTTTTAGCTTTCTCGGCGTAGACAGTCTTTAAAATGATCTCAAGCCCTTGTAGCTCAGTTGGTAAAGAATCTGTCCACAATGCAGGAGACCCGGGTTTGATCCCTGGGTGGGAAAGATCCCCTGGAGAAGGAAATGGCAACCCACTCCAGTATTCTTGCCTGGAGAATCCCATGGACAGAGGAGCCTGCCAGACTACATACAGTCTGTGGGGTCGCAAGAGTTGGACATGACTTAGTGACTAAACAACCACCATACTCAAGCCCAGAATAGGATGGCACATCGACTGTAGTTTTAGTTAATAGACATCCAGTAATCTTATGGCTGAACCAAGTGTCAGTTTTCTCACGTAGACAGTCTTTAAAAAATGATAGCCTACTTACTATTCATTGGTTACTACTTTACAAGTATAGATGACACAGTCACCTAGAAATTTGCTCTTTCAGCATAGGGGATTGGTTCTGCTCTAACTGATAAGAAGACATGGGACTATTGGAATTCTGGCCACAAAAATGCACTCTCACACCACACAGTTCTGTCCAGATCAAGCCTGTAGTTTATTCTATTAAAAGAACCAAAAAGCATTCCTTCAGTTGTTGTTTGTGTAGGTACTGTTTTTACAAATGTTCTGCAAGGTTCTATTTTTGTTGCTAGTGATTACCATCATTGGTGCAAGTAAAAAAGGTTGATTTATATGAAAATACAGAAATAACAGTTGCTTTGGGTTCTCAAGATTTACAAGAGTTTTTTATGGTATCTGTCTTTTAACAGCTTAATGAATGAAGTGGTTCATACATCTCCAACCATAGGAAGCAATGTTGAAGAAATAGTTGTGAAGAACACTCATTTTCTTATGTGGGATATTGGTGGTCAAGAGTCACTTCGGTCATCCTGGAATACGTATTACTCAAATACAGAGGTATACTGAGGTTACTTCTGAATTTGAATGAGAAGAACCAAAGAGTAAACCCAGAAAACAGATAGGCTGTACAGAAGGCACAGTGACAGTTCCCTTTTAATAAGATTCTTTCTCTGTAAGGAATTTGAGGTTTTCAAATTAAAGAGGAAAGGCAAGTCGGAAGAATAATGGGAGCTATTACTAGTGGAGTGCTTACTGTTGTCCGGCTCTCTCAATTCATCCTTAGGCTAATACTGTAATATCTCCATTGCTGGAGACAGTGGACACTAGGATGAGCTATATTACCTTTCCCAACCTTACAAGAGGCTGTGGTTAGGGGGAAATACAGTATTTTAAGCATAGTTTAATATAGGATTTTTAAATCACATAAATTGAACATTCACATTTTTGATGAGATTATATTTTAAATAAAAAGCAAATGATTTGCAAGCCATCCTCCCAGCATTTGCTTTCACTTATTTCATTATTTGAGTCAACCCAGGAAGCAAATCTGGACTATCTTTTATATTTGTATTTATTTAATCTTTTTAGAGGCAAATTTTTTTTTTTAAAGTGCAGTGCTATTGAGAGACGTTTATCTTCAGGAATGCTAATGCACAATTGCATCTATAGTTTTTATTTACAAAGAGGTACACCAAACCAGTTACTTTTTCTGTAATGAAATCTCTTAAAAATTGAGGGGTTTTTTTTTGAGAAGGAGTTGCAGAGGAGGTGGGAGTATTGATGCAAGGAATTTTTGGTGAATAACTTGTCTTTTAAAATTAAAAAAAAAATAATATTCCTCTAGATTTATAATATAATAGCCTATGTGTATGTGTGTATATGTTCTAGTGCAGTGTGTGACTGGTCAAACCATGATGGCATATCATAGATATTTAGCAGTTGTAGTAGTGCTTAATTATTTTTATTTGCAAGGGGAGGATAGGTTGATAGGCTAATATTTACGGTTATAGGTTAGATTAGTATATATTTCTATATAACATAGTAAAATAACATTCTGAAAATAAAATGTGTTAGAATAAGGGAAGAACAACATTTTAACATAGCTGTAATTTCTTCAAAGCTCACAGTTAACTCCAAGTCTGAAAGGAGCAGTTACCTTTGGTGAATAGATCAGAGTTGGTCCCAGCTGATTGATATGTATTGATAACATTCCTAAATGGTGGTTTTTCAGTTTGTTGACACAAAAGGACTTCACATTGGTCCAGAAAGACATACATTATTAGTGACTCCACTTACATGAATTGTCCTTAGAAACTATTTCTACAAGAATATCAGAATTACTACAGAGAACTTTTTTGACCTTCCATGTAATGTAGCATAGTAGCATAGCACATAGCATTTGCAGTCTTAGGTTCTTAGGTAGAGATTTTATCTACATAGTGATTTTTGTTCACTTTTTTCACCCTTCTTATCTTGCGTCTTAAATTCTTTACGTCATTTAAAAGCCGAAATGTCTCCATTTCAGTACAGCAAGTTACTCAGTCATTGAGTAATTTCTGACACCTTCCTTCTTTAACATACAGAGTTACTTCCCGTATTCTGTCTGTTCTGATTGTATTTCTTACATTTGTCCCCTGTTTTTAGATTTCCTTTTATCTCCTCATAAGCTCTTGTTAGTTTGTGCTGGGGTTGCTCTAGTTGTTTCTTTTCCCTAATTGTAAAGTCATCTGGACAATATGGCTCTACCCTCCCTGTGTATTTGACTCCTGTAACCCTCAAAATGTTTGTCTTATTTCTTTTTCTTCTGTATAAGATGTTCGAGTTAGGGATGGTTTCTCATTGTATCTTATTTTTCTTATCAAAGATGCCATATTGTGAATATGTAACACACCTTTATTTACACAGTTATCAATAGCTTTCTCCTGTTCTCTTAGACTATTAGTAACATCCAAGTGTGTATATATATTTCCATTTAACACATTTTTCTTGCCCTTCTATTGTTGATATTTTATGTAAAAAATTTTTTTTTAAGTTTTAGGGAGTTATTTAAATTACTCTGACTTTTTTTTAAAGACTGTGGCTTTCTTTTTTAAAAATACCTTTTACTACCTGCATTTTAAAATAAATCTTAGTATATATATTAAGGGCATATTATATATTCAAATATCACTTTAAAAAAATAAACTGCAGCATGGTTTTTATTTGTTGAAGTTGTGTTATGTTTCTTATTAACATTTGGATTTTACTGCTTGATGTGATTCAGTATAATACAGATTCTTTATGATGAAAAAGACCAGTTTTATAGTGATGATGTTGTCATAGTAGAAAGTACTTCTAGCACATAGAGTAGTTTTGCAGAAAACATGAACATCCCATTCAGTTTTCTTTCTTTTTACTTGTCTTCTAGTTCATCATTCTTGTGGTTGATAGCATTGACAGGGAACGACTCGCTATTACGAAAGAAGAATTATACAGAATGTTGGCTCACGAGGTAACTTTTGAAAACAGACATAAATGGAGTGAGGTGTCCACTTACTGGTTTTGTGTTTTCACAAAGATTAATGTGCTCTGCTATTGGTTATTTCTTCATTAACAAAGTTTTATATATCAAACTGATGAAAGTCATGAAGTCAAAAAATTTTAATACTTTATCAAACTTAAGAAAACCCAACACATTAATCTGGAGACTGATGCTGTTAATTGAAAATTGTCTTCACAGTTAAAACTACTTGTAAGTCTGACAAATTGTGGCAAGAGAATGGAGAATTTAAGATCTTTTCATCCCTACAGTTTATAATGGGCTATCCTGGTGGCTCAGTGGTAAAGAACCCTCCTGCCAATGCAGGAGGTGAAGGTTATCTCTGGGTCAGGAAGATCCCCTGGCAGAGGAAATGGCAGCCCAATCCGGTATTCTTGCCTGGAAAATCCCATGGACAAAGGAACCTGGAAGGCTACAATCCACGGGGTTGCTTAATTCTAAATAGTTCATATATACAAAAGACTTCGAAAGTAAAACATTTACGTCGCTGCCACTCAATATAAGATGTTAAATACCTTGTGATATCTCTCCAATCTGATTTTCTTCCCTTCTCTCTGAGAGGATCGTGAAAGATTACACCATCCTAAAAGTAATGAATATTATGCATATTATCACTGTGCACATTATTACTACAATTTTGTGTACCCATCAACAACTATATAGTATTTTACTCTTAGTATATATACCACAGTTGCTCTGTTCTTCTGTTAATGAACATTAAAGTTACTTCCAGTGTTTCCAGTTCTGCAGTGAACGTTAATCAATGAGCTTCAGTTAAACAGACTAATTAGTATTGTTGCCCAACCCTCACCTTCAGTATTCTCCTTTAAATTCTGGATAGATTCTATAGTATACTATATTGACCTGTTAGAATATTGCTAAGATAATTTTAGGTCATTGTTTCAGACTCAGGTTTATTGTACTTTTAGCTTGACCCATGTGGCCCAACCACAGAAAAATAACTTTTAATATCTAGCTTATATTAGTTTAATGTCTTTGTTAGAGTGAATCATTAAATGATGGTTCTTTGAAGTCATTTTTTATTTCAACAAAAATTTTAAATTATTAGTGCCTGATTAAAGTACAGAGATTTCATTATAATTGTTCCATAGGACCTATTCTACCCTCCTGCTTCATTAGTTTTATTTTGAATTGTGATAGTTGACATATTATAAATATTTTCATTGGGGGAGAATAGATACATGTATATATATGGCTTAGTCCCTTTGCTGTCCACCTGAAACTCTCACAGCATTATTAATTGCCTATACTCCAGTATAAAATTTAGAAGTTAATAGAAGATTTCATGTTGATTGCAGGATTTACGGAAGGCCGCAGTCCTCATCTTTGCCAATAAACAGGATATGAAAGGGTGTATGACCGCAGCTGAAATCTCTAAATACCTCACCCTCAGCTCAATTAAGGACCATCCGTGGCACATCCAGTCCTGCTGCGCTTTAACAGGGGAGGGGTGAGTGTGTGGCTTCTTTCACATTTCTCGCAAGTGTTTTCCACCAACTTGCTTTCTTCTTTGAGTCCTGTTCCATTTTTGTTCTTATGGTGTCTCAGGTTGAAATAATTTTACTCAAATGCTACTGTTAAATTACAGTTTAACTAAGTTACCAACAATTTTTTTTTGTAACTTAGTATAAATGGAATGTTTGACCAAAAAAGAGTAAGAACAAACTTTTGAAGAAAGTTTTTACAATGTAGATTTTCAGTTGTTGTTCATTTCTTGCTTGTGTCATTCGTTAACTGGGAGAAAACTAATGTAACCTGAATAAAAGAGGAGATGTCAAAGAAATTAAATCTAAACTCCCAGCTTTCCACAAGAGTGCGTCTCTTATCAGGAGTCGTTTTGGGAGGCACACTTCTAAACAATGAACAATTAAGAAAAATGCCATTCTAATGTATTCCTCCTTTTCAAAGAACTTACATTTGGACATAGTAGGCTGAGGAGAACCCATTGTATTACATATGGACTACCCGGTTTATTTCTAGGAACTTAGTTATCCTCAAATCAAACTGACCTTCTCATTATTTCTCATACTAGAAATAACTTGTAATATAGTAGCTATATGTTGATGTTTGGACCTATACTTGTAAAAGTATACTTAGAGTAGACTTAAAGGATGCTTTCAGTTTTTAATACATAGTTTCTTTATTTTGAAATGACTTTTGCTTTCTGTTTCAGGTTATGCCAAGGTCTAGAGTGGATGACCTCCCGGATTGGTGTGAGATAACTTTTTTGCTCGAAAGAGACTCTATTTATTCTGTGACATGAACCTAGTACATTTGGCTGCTAAAGCAGCAGCATGTTTAATTAATTTATAACAACACAAACCTCTGTGAGCAACACTTGAATCAAGTGCAGCTGAACTGGAACATAAAAGATTTTTTACCTTTTTTTTAATGCACTAATCTTCAGTTGGATAAACATAATGTATAACTGTTTTCAGCAACAGAATTCTTCAGACTGCTTATTCTAATTATTCAATGACTGCCTTTTAAGAAATATTTGTCATATGTTTAATGTTTTCTGAATATTGTAATAACTTTAATGACCAGTTTCTTTTCATTTCTTGACTGCTCCCTCCCCCTATCAGATAATTACCAGTTGTGGAAATTGTCAGGTACTGTTTGCAAACTTACCCAGCACTAAATATTTGCTCCCTCTGTAAACCACTTACTTTTGGACAGAACTTTATTATAGAGAAAGAAATATGCCTAAAAGATGTATATTTAAGGAGTGGATGAAACATCATGAGACCTGCCTTTTAAATGAGTTGCTTTACCCCACATTATTGCAAGTCATGGAATAATTTTCAGTTTCTATTAGCATCTCAATTAAGAAGGCTGTTTATCTTAGAAGAATTAACTTCAGTTTTCAGCCTACAACATGGGATTGGTTTTGGTTAAAAATTAATAATAGTAAAATATTTATTTCAAAGCCCAACTTCAATAGTAAATACTTTGATTAAATGTGGTATTTTTAAGAATGTCACATTATTCAATGCATGTATAACTATCAGAAATTACTAAAGTATACCAGCACTGAAAATATAACAAGGCACTTGAAATATATTTTTACTATCAATTACAAACAACTTTATTATCAGCAGAAAGTTCAACTGTTTCATTTGCAAGGGTACCACATCTGCTTTGGGCAATAGTTAAAAAGCAGAAGAATAAACAGTTCATTTTATTTCTTAGAATTTGAAATTGTATGATAGCGTCTCTACCACCAGCAGTATATTACTTAAAAAATCCATATGACTTTCCTTAAATCTGTTGTAGTATAATAGGCTTGAAACAATTGCCATTTGTGTAATTATGCCTTGTGTTCTAAAATCTTTTATTGGATTATAGGAAACTGCTGAACTTAATCATGGCTTTTAGAATATTACTATGAAACTCAAGTTTAATACACTAACAAGTTAAAAGATTTTTTTGCTAGTTAAAAACTCATAATCTAGCAAAAGTTTATTTTATTGGATAGCATTAAAACATTTTTAAGGCAGTGGTCTAATATGAACAGTAATCTACATAGTGCATACCTTAAGAGAGCGGGGAAAAGTATTGTAGTTTTGATCCTCTTTATTTCAAATGTGTGCTTTTGCTATGATGAAAGGGATAAAACACACACATAGAGAATAATACTTTATTTTTGCAGTATTCTTTCATTTGGGTCAAAAATAGGATTCAGTGTTCATAAAAATATCAACACCTATTCAAAAGTGATATTTTAATATTTTTACTGTAGGTTGTTTAAATTTTGCTGTTTTCAGGTATACTGGATTTGTTATAGTCTAATTAATTTAGTTGAATGTGGTGACATTTTTCTGATTCCTATTTAGTAGTAGTACTCCCTGGAACTGGAAATCACCAGAGGAAAACTCTCTGGGCTTTGGGACCTAGTTGGGACTTGTTTTCAACCTTTTTCTTAAGTGATATTGTACCAGGTAGAGGGTAAATTTTGTTTTTAATATAATGTGTAATCAGGAACAGGAGAGAAAAATAGACAAGAATCAACATGGTGTGTATGTGGGGTAGAGTAGGGGCAGGAGAAATTATGAAAATCCCATTTACCTAAAGCACACTTTGCCAGAATTTCTATCTTGGGTTGTATAGTTTAGCCATGAATACTGGGGATAATTCTCTGAATTCTTTCCTGAGAAAAATCATATTTAATACTCCTGTATTTGTTCTTATTGTGATATCTTTCTTCTTGTATCTAATAAGATTGGCTGGCTCCATTTTCTTCTATCAAATTATATGGTTATTTTTTTATATTACCACATCAGCATTATACTGAAAGTGTTAATAGTCGATCGTATTTTGTCAGACTACTAGTGTAGACTCAAGTTTTCTATTTGATCTTTAAAATACAATTTGTTTTATTTTCTAAATGCTTTTTAAAAAATATTTGTTGGTTCTGGATTAGAAATGATTTATGTTAGCTGTGTGTTGAAGATGAAATAGATGTCCAGCTAGGTTTTGTGCCAACGATTGGGAAAAGTTCAATTAGAAAATTCATGTAAGACTTTTTAAGTTTTTTTATGGGTTCTCATTAGATAGTTCCTCTTGTAGTAATATGAAAACTGATTATCCTTTACTCCAAGAGAATGTTTTGACCCAAGCACGTATTTAACATTGAAGCATTGATTCTGACATTTATTGAAAATCAGTCATCTATAAGATACTGTCTGATGAAAAAATGTAAATTGTGATTAGTGCCTTTATCTGTATTTTGAGATAAGTTCTCAATTTTGTATTATACCTGTTCTTTAGAAGTCATACTTGCAGCTCATTAATTTAACAATAGTTCAGGTTTCACCCTCCCCGTCAATCCCTTAGTTGCCTAGCAAAATTTCTAAGTGGTAGAAGGCAGGGGGTAGAAGTAACCCATGTTACTTCTGGGAGATTATTCTACCTATTGTTTTTAATTTGAGATGAAGAAGCTAAATTTAAACAAATCTTTGGTTATAGCTAAAATGTAACTGTTACCCTTGTAAGTTCAAGGCATTTTTCTTAATATTGAACATGTTGCATTCTTCTGTTTAAACCCTCTTTCTTATCAAATCCCATTTGAGAACTTTTAGAATTAATAAGCCTTTTTATATGGGAACATAGCTGCATATTTTGTTAATGTAATTTAATTCCTTAAAATTTGAAATAATATATCTATAATCTATTGAATAACATGATTAAGTACAAATTTTTGCTTTTAGGTTCTTTGTTAGTATGCTTAAAGGTATAATTTTATTCTAGCTTCACTAGAGGAATGAGGATAAATTGAAATTTCATTGTTAAAAATTATTTTTTAAACGGATGCTACTCTTGTAACCATAGTCATTTTGATTAAGCATAAATTAACTTTCATTATCTTTAACCTAAGGAGAAAACAATTATTTTCCTATGGAAACTGTCAGTGATATAGGCAGTGCTGTAAGCATTAATCTCTGAAGAGTTATGGGGAGCCACAAAGCAAAGAAAATTTTAAAATGATAAAAGCTTTATTTTTTAAAAAGTATTTTTGATGTAGTATCTTAGGATGAATTATAAATGGATTTGTCTCTGCCTAGAGCTCACTGAATTCTTAACTATGTAAAAGAATACCAGTTGAAAAAACGTACTGGTATTATACCTAGAATAGATTAATTCCCTTGATATTTATCTTTGAAGACCAACTTTCTGAGCCTAACTGGCTTTGGATCCAAAACATATTTCATACTTAGTTCAGTTCTAAAGAATCTTTTTTATCTTGTCAGGGTATAGTCACTTCACGATACAGCATGATGGCTTGTAGCCAGTAGAATGTAGGGCTGGCTATCTAAAGCAGTAGATTTGAATCTCAGTTTGGCCGTGACCTGTTTGACCTTGGACAATTACTATTGTTTGTGGCCTTCTTACTATTTTTCCCATACTGAAGAAAACTAGAGTAGCAGTGCAACTTTTGGTTTTAAAATTCTGAAAGTTTATATACTACTATTAAAAACTGAAGGAAGAAAAAAACACCCAAAACACAACAACAAAAAAGAAACAAACCAGACAGAGGAAGGACATGTAATATGAAATTGCATTTATTTTACTCTATTATTTGATTCCCACCTCATTATCATTTCATTTAGTATATCGATACAATCAAATAAGAAAGCAAAGAATCAACTAGTAACTGCTACTCCACTTAAACTGAGCTAATAGTTAATGAAAATGCAAAACAGAAAATGAGCCACATATTGCTAAGATATTTAAGCTATTTCCAAAACACCAGTGTATACTGGGAAGTGCTCTCTTCTAGAAAATATCTTGCTTATTTTCCTGGCTTTTACTAATTGGATGGAAGTGGTTAGTTTGTTCAGAGCTTATTGGCTTTAGAGGATTACCCCAAACTCCAGTTCTGTGTTGATTTTCCAGTATTGAAAGGATAGTGCATCCAGGACGTCAATATTTTACAAATGTCTCTATAAATCTGTAAGTAGTTTATATTCCAAGTCAGTTTTTTCAGTAATGTCTCCTTATTCATTTAGCATTACTGTGAAGACTGGCATCTAAAAGCCAGGTCCCCAAAAAGTATATTTTAAGAGTTTCAGGTAACCAGAGTTATACAGAAGAAGGCCAGTTAAAAAAAAAAGTTTTTTTAGCTGCTTTGTTTTAAATTCAAGATAGAAAACATACTGTGTTTCACAGACCTAAAATCAGCTTTAAATATATAAAGTCTTGTGAGATATTTGAGAAATGTTAATTTAGAGGTTTAGAAGCATATGTAGAAACAAAAGTCAGAAAACTTGATATAATGTGAGGTTAAAGTCTTCAGTAGAAAATTTGAATGAAAACAGTGAACTGCCCCCATTCAAGGCACTTAAAACTACTAGAAAATTTGTCTTACTGTAGAACCGGATGGCCTATATTACTGTTAATGTGACCAAAGGATTGAAGACTGATCGGGTTTCTAGAATTTGAGAGTATAGCCACAAAAAGCCCCTTTTGCATTTTTATAAACCAGTAATCTGCCTTTTTTTTCCCCCCTAGAAATGGAGAAATAATGTGCTGTACATGTCTTCTGGAATAGAAAACAAAATTCTAGAAGAATAAAAATGTTCTCTTGCACAAACTTGTAAAATTTTAATTTAAAAATTGCCTCATTTTTCAGTCCATATGGTGGTGTCCTCCAGTTTGTGTGATGTGGCACCATCCCATTAAAGTCCCCTTCCCCCAGACTGGATTGAAATAGGCAGATTTC